ATCTATGTACTAATGCCCAGTAATGTACCAAGTGATAAGTGCTTGATTGTGGTGTTTCCTGAGCCATAGTCTCTATTTTTTTAAAAAAGGGTTTATTTATTTTTGTGTGTGTGAGTATTTTGTTTGGATGTATGTCTGTGTGCTCACAAATGACAGAAGAGGGCATTGGAGCCCCTGAAACTGGTGTTACAGATGGTTGTGAACTGCCGTGTGGGTTCTGGAAACCAAATCTAGTTCTGTAAGAGCAACATATGCTCTTAACCACTTCAGCCTTTATTTTTTAATATTTTAATTCTCTCTTTCTCTCTCTGTCTCTGTGTGTATGAGTACAGAGAGAGAGAGAAAGAGAGAGAGAGAGAGAGAGAGAGAGAGAGAGAGAGAGAGAGAGAGAGAGAGAGAGAGAGAGAGAGAGAGAGAGAGAGAGAGAGAGAGAGAAAGTAATGTGAGTTCAGGAGCTGGCTGAAGCTAGAGAGGGTATCAGATTCCCTGGAACTGGAGTTTCAGTCAGCTGTAAGTTACCCAGTATAGTGCAGGGAATTGAACTCAAGTCCTCTGCAAGAACATCAGAGACTCTTAACTTCTGAGCCACCCCCTCACTCTCTATTTTTAAGGGCCCAATACTCTATTTTTAATACTGATATGTTCTTAATAACAACATAAAACAAAAACATTAATAAACATTTGGGCACATCAAGAATGGAATATGTATGTGTAAAGGATTCCTGAAGAAGTTGACTTTAAACGAATAATAGGTTTTTTTTTAAGGCAGACGGATTTTTGGAATGCCAATTTTTTTTATCCAATACATTTTACAATACATATCTTATATATTTTCAATATACCTTGACAGTTATAATAACAGCTGTGTGAATTGGGTGGCATTATTGTCTTTACTTTCAAGGTGGAAAAAATCAGTCAAGGTCCCTCATTCGAATTACAGGGAAGAATTCCTTTACAACCTTATTTTTTGCCCATCTAACCTAAATCATTTCTCACTATGGCTGTGTGGCAAATAGGAAGAAAGGTTATGTGAAGCTTAGCCTAGTTTTCCAGTCGTGGAGACTAGACTTCATGACTGAGGAAATTTTACTTCATATACTTCTTTCATAACTCTTGGGTACTTGGAGTAAAACTCCTAGGTTGTTATAGAAATGAACTCCTTTGGTGTGTGAAGATACATTTGAAAAAATTATTTACAAATAAAAATGCTATCGCAAAAGCAACAGCTATGAAGATGTTTACTGAAACAAGTGCCATATCATTGATTTCTGAGTCCTGAGTCTTACGTTTACTAGGGAAACTTCATGAAGTCATAAATGATTTACATGTCCATGAGGTGGTTGCAAGATTCTGACAGAGTCACTTAGAATCAAAAGAACACATATAAATAAGTGAATTCTTTGATGAATAAATCGTAAGGATGAACTTTACAGATCCAGGTCCTGCTTCAATTACATAGGTACAAAGGCATACCAACAAAACATCAGCACCATGGATACATCCCAGTTCCAAATGGAGCATCCTCCTATTTCATGTGATGATACATAGTCATTCTAGAGTCTTGCTAGTAAAACTTTACACTTACACACAAATTGAAGCAAGGAAAAGAGACACACTTCCTATCTTAGGTAAGGTTTGTAATATATCTTGCTAGAAATATTAGTATAAAAACCAATTCATGATTAAATTTGTTCTCCTCATCTATCTACACTTTGATTTCTCCCCATCTCTGAAGACCCAAATTATGTTGTATCTTAGAACTGACTTTTTTAACTTCATTCTTTTCTAAATCCCTTGATTGCTCAAGCTCTGGTTATTTTTAAATCTTTAGATTTTCTTTGCACTCATTTCTCATTCAAAGTTTGAAATGATATGATCAAATACATCTGTCTTAAGAAATAGCATTGAGATTAGGATCTGTCTGAAAAGAATTGAAATATTTTTTGAATTGAAGGCATTTTATTAAACTAAGTTTCTGCCCAAGGGAATATTTTAAACTCGTGAGGATAAAGAGGATATGTTACCATCTGAGCAGCTGGTGTGAGAAAGCCTTTCTAAGCCCAGGAGAAGAGGCTCTGATAAAGCCACCAGGGGGTAGGAGTCACAGGTAGAACTTAAGCTGAGAATTCTTATAAGGAAAGGAGCAGCTGTGAAAAAGTGGAGAATGAGTGAAATACAGGCTGAAAAGATTATTCTGTGGGACAGCCTGAAGACAATTTTCAAACTGTGGAGTACAACCTATTAGCAAGTCATGAAGGCAACCAATGGAAGGTGACTCACGTTAAATTGGAAGAATGGGAAGTATTAACATATAAGCCAAATGGAGATTATTACATATATGTCTATAGAAGGTAAATGCATTTCTTGTCAAATAAAACAAATAGTGAAAGTTATCTAAAGTTATGGAGAATCCTAATTAATGCTTAGGAGGTGAATGGTCTTTGGGGAAAACATAAAATTAAGCATTTATGTCTTTTCATCTCATTTCATTTCAGTACTTTCTAATTTGATTATAAATAGTTCCATTGAAATGAAGGTTATTCTTGTTGCTTCATATGTTTACAAAAGCATGCACCCATGGTCCGTGCTGGAGTGTGTCACTGAGAGAGAGTTTCAAAAAGGGAGATGACCGTGGATGTAAAAGTCTCTGTGTGTATTATGGTTAGGTCATTTATCTAACATCCGTATTTGAATGTGTTAAATCTTTCCACATGTGGTAGAAACAGAAATGAAATTAGAAAGTACATTAATTAATTTATTTATTGCAGTGCTTCTGATTGAGCCTGGAATTTGAGGACCGGCAAGTTTTCCTAATCAGTACATTAAAATAACAGCATCTGTAGGTCAAAAACTGATGAAATTCAAATAACTATAATAAGAATAGAAATCCACACCAGAAAGAGTTACTTCATGAAAATATTCAGTTTCAGTTTGAATTAGCTCATGTGTGATATCAGGTCCTGTGCTAAAAGTCATTATAATTCTAACAGATTATTCACAATGCTGGACTCTAATGTGCTATAAGGAAGATTCTCAACTTTCTGTATTTTGGTATTTTTAAATGGGAGCATTAGTCTGGAAAGTCCTTATCTTTGTAAATGAATGCGACTTCTTCTGTATACATGTCTCAACGTTTTAGAGTGCTAAAGTTGAAAATTGTCATTTATTCTGATTTTTATTATGTAAAACCTGCAGATTAAGCTATTTTAGAAGCAATTGAGAAAATTCTGAACATTCCATTCACGATTGTTATCAAAACACAAACTTTCCCTTGCTTTTACTTGCCCTCCTTTGTGTTCTTCTTTTGCTATGTACACATTTTGTTCCTCTTGTGTGCCACACCTTAAGAGTGCTGGTAGAAAGATGGATAGTGTCCATTTGCCCACAGCAAAGAGTGAGGACAAAGTGTAAGAGAACATGTTGATAATAAATCAGTAATTGGAAACAGCCTACATGCCTTTCAACTGATGAAGGGGTAATACAAATTTATGGTTATAAGATGGAGTGTTATCCAGCTGTTAAATAAAATAAAATTTTCAGTTAAATGCATGAGGCCAGAAATACTCATCTTGAGTGAAGTTACCCAGACCCTCAGACAAATATTATTTGTTTTCTCTTATGTGTGGATATTAATTCTTAAGCTTTAGATATGTCATTAACATTCTTGGTGCTGGAAGGCACTGGGAACGCTACCAGAGGAGAGAAATAATCATCATTATCACCTAGCTACAAAATTGCATCCTATGACAGAGATATACCTGTAAGACATATTGGTGCAATCATGGCACACATATTATAGGATCAACCAACCACTTTTTGATTGAACTTAAGGAACATATACCAGACATTTTTAAAGTGGCCATGGACCTGAAGCTAGGTAGGTCATGGGCCCTCGGGGACCCAACTACTATTATTTTGCTAAAGGAACATAGCAATGGAATGACTTTTTTGTTGTTTATTTGTTTTTTTGAGACAGGGTTTTCTTGCGTAGCTTTGGAGCCAGTCCTGGAACTAGCTCTTGTAGACCAGGCTAGTTTCCGACTGCCTCTGCCTCCCGAGTGCTGGGATTAAAGGTGTGTGCCCCAATGCCCTGCTTAGAATGACTCTAAAAGGCATATTGATATCTCCATAGTTCAGTGTTTTTATCAGTCCTCATCAGGGAAACTTCATCTTGAAGTAGATAGGACTTAACACGGAGATACACAAGCCGACAATGTGCTGAATGAGAGATTTCAGAGCACTGAGATCCAACTATGATGTCTTTATCTCTTCCCTCAAAGCTCAAGGATTTATGTGAAAAGGGGGACAAAACACTTTAGGAGCCAGAGGTATTGAATGCCTCCAAGGAAGAAACATTTTCTGATACAGCAGGGCTGATATACAGATGAAGAGACAGTGATAGCAAGCACAAGACCTGCACATGATCAGAATCAGGCAAAATCACAACACAGAGAAATGAAGTGGACTCAAAATTCCATCCCTAGTAAGGAAACTATTTGCAATTGATATCTACCTGCTGGGAAAGGGGAAATCAGTTCTCTCCAATGGAGTGGCACTGGATATGTCAACCACACTGCAAAGCTAACTGCATGCCTGAAGTAGTTGAACAACACAAATTATGTGCTTTTTCTTTTGCTTTGTTTTGTTTCAGTATTTTTCATCTTATTGATTTTCCTACTTGAATTTTTTTGATAAAGAGAGAAAGAGAAAGCAAGCAAGCATGCAGCTGGGTAGGCCGGGGTTTGGGCAGGATCAGGGAGGAGCTGGGTGAGGGAAAGAATATGATCAAAATAGACTTTGGAGATTCCCCCCAAGGAGGGCCTCACCCTCCCTGGGGAATGATGTGGGGATTGGTTGGAGGGGGGCCTGGTGGAGGGACAAGGGAGGAGGGATGGGAGAGCGAGCTGGGATTGACATGTGAAGCATTCATGTTTCTAATTTAAATAAAAATAAAATATATTGTATGAAATGTTTTAAATAAATAAAAAACAAAAAATTAAAAAATAGGAAAGCTGCCTTTTTGGCTCTCGCAGCAGCACCATGGCGGTTGGCAAGAAGGGAGCCAAGAAGAAAGCGGTTGATCTATTTTCTAAGAAAGACTGGTATGATGTGAAGGCCCCTGCAATGTTCAGTAACATTGGGAAAATGCTGGTCACCAGGACTCAAGGAACTAAAATTGCATCTGATGGCCTCAAGGGTCGGGTGTTCGAAGTGAGCCTTGCTGATCTACAGAATGCCAAAGTTGCATTTAGAAAATTCAAGCTAATTACTGAAGATGTTCAGGGCAAAACCTGTCTGACTAACTTCCATGGCATGGATCTTACCCGGGACAAGATGTGTTTCATGGTCAAAAAGTGGCAGACCATGATTGAAGCGCATGTCGATGTCAAGACAACCAATGATTATTTGCTACATCTGTTCTGTGTTGGTTTCACTAAAAAACGCAACAACCAGATCCGCAAGACCTCCTATGCACAGCATCGGCAGGTCCGCCAGATTCGCAAGAAAATGATGGAAATCATGACCCGAGAAGTGCAGACAAATGACTTGAAGGAAGTGGTTAATAAATTGATTCCAGACAGCATTGGGAAAGACATAGAAAAGGCTTGCCAGTCCATTTATCCTCTTCATGAGTCTTCGTTAGGAAAGTAAAAATGCTGAAGAAACCCAAGTTTGAATTGGAAAAACTCATGGAGCTCCATGGTGAAGGAGGTAGTTCTAGAAAACCTACTGGTGATGAGACAGGTACTAAAGTTGAACGAGCTGATGGATATGAACCATCAGTCCAAGAATCTGTTTAAAATCCAGATTTTTAATAGTGACAAATAAAAAAATCTTATTTGTGAAAACAATAGGAAAGCCTAATAATCATAAAATGAATTCATGTAGAAGGGACATCTGATAGAACTTTGGGATATGAAAGAAATTATCTGAATTAGATAATAATATTTAGATGACACCTGGCAGATTGGAGTCGGAATGAGGGTAGATGCTGTAGGCGGAATGAATAGTGTGCGTACAGGGTTGTGATAAGATGAGAATAGGTGGTAGAGATGAAGAGTAACTCTAAAGAAATGACTTTATCTCATCACAAAACTGCTGAAGCCATGGAAGATCTTGGGTTACACCATGAAAGCATTGGGAGAGTTGCCAGTGGCATTTAAACAAATTTTGTTTGAGAACGAATGATTTATGGACACAGTTCTAAATCACTTATCACCCACTGTGGACTAATCAGACATCCACACACCTTTTCTATGGAGGACAAGATACTGACTATTTGGGTCCTCATGGTCAGTGATGCAACTGTGAAGCTGTTGTTGCTGTGTGAACATAGCCATAGATCATATGTGAACAAGACTGTGTTTCCATAAGACTTTAGTCACAAACAATGAGATTTCAGTCTAATCTCATTTTCATGTGCCATAAAACATCCATCTTTGTATGTTTTAGAACTGTTATCCATTTAAAAATGACTCTGTTGATAGACCATACAAAAAACACAATGTTCCATAGATTCTTGTTTGCTGACCCTGCTCTAAAGGACATGGAAATATAATCCAAGTAGTAATGATAATATACATTTTAAATAGGAAAACAACACTTACTGGACTCTAGAACAATATGAGAGCATAAGAAAGGCCTTTATTTTCTTATTACGTGGACATCTGAGGAGCTTAGTATCTCTTGACCACCTGGCGATGTAATGTTGGCTTCAAGCATATACAGGCCATCTCCAATACACAGTATTTTCCTTAAGCCATGGTTTCCTGCACCTCTGTCCACTCCCCAGTCTTCTCTCATCTAACTAACCTCTAAGGGAGAAGGCAGCTCTCTATTTAAAAACAACCCTTATCTTCAGAAAAATTATATTTATGTTTGAGATTTTTGTCCCTGACCTTGACACATCATTTTTCCCGGGGAGGAAGTACTCCAAAAAGAAGTCGCCATGTTTCCTGAAGACAGGGCGTGACATTAGGAAGTAGCATAAGCTTATGACCAGCCACAGGTCAGTGGTTTACAGGTTTCTCAACTACAAGATCTACCTTTGTCTTTTTAAGCCTCAGTCCATGGTCTTGAGATACCATGGATAGGCCAATAGAAGGAACTGCTTCCAACCAAAACAAAGCCTTGAAAAAATCCATTTTTGAGGAGTTCAGGAATATGAAAAAAATAATCCTTGCGATGAAGAGTCAAGTGATATTACTGCCTTAACAACACCCTCTTTAGCTTTACAGAAACAACATTATCTATTGACTACTAACAAAACTTATAAGTTCTATTTACCACTTACAAAAAATACTGTGATCTATTCTGTGTCTAGAATTACATATGTATGCTTTCATATCCTCCACGTGTACTATACTAATTGTCATCCATGTATAACAACAAAGTTTCAAGCATGTTATACATAATGAAGATAATATTTAGCATTCTGATACAGTTTTAGCATTGTTTTGGGGGCATAAACTGAAAGGGTAACTTCTCAAGATATTGTAAAATCTAGTTCAAAGGTTGGTTAAAAAAAACAAACCAGTATCTTCATTGTTTATGAATATTTTGGTCTTCCAAAAATCCAGCTGGGTTCCCATAGAAACCTCACTGGTCCAGATATGATGTCATCACCCAACAAAAGCTAGAATTCAACCACTCTATTAAAAATTGTTAATACAAGTAAACATTGAATCATCTAATTATTGGGTACACATAGCATTTTCCCAAGTGCATTACTATAAGGAGTTTGTTTTTTTTAATCCATTAAATATGATTGGTCTATAATTAAATACCAGAGCAGGGTGAGGCATTGGCTGAAATGGTAAAATGAGCTCTTTAAAAAGATGCAGCAAACACCTTCTGAAAATATAACTTAGTGAAAAATTATCTTAATAATGTTTTGAAAAGCTAAGCACAATGCTTACTAAATAAATCACAAGTCCCCCATCTTGGTAACAGAAGGGGTTTGATACCCATAATGCTCAAAGGGTAGAATTGAGAAGATACACTACAAAGCAACTTTTAATTCTTTCCAACTTTCTATCTAAAGGTTATTCATTTTCTTTTATCTTAAAATGACATTCAGGTCTCATAACTTAGATAATAAAAAAATCGTACTTGCACTTATCGCCACCAAAGACTTTTTTGACAATCTGGTTTAGAGTAATAATAGATAACTTCAGTCTTTGACACAGGCTAAAGCTTTTGAGTTTCCTTGTAGGAGACCTGTGAAGAGAGGAGTGTGTAGTCTGATGGGGCAGCACCTTAACAGTGTTTTCTTTCACTATCTTCTCAAACAGTTACTCTTGTGTGCAATGGGCGTGGGGAGGGAAAACAGCCAGAATACTAGCTGGGATTTCATTTGACTGACATTGGTTCCTTGTAATTCTCTGCAACATTACCAGGAGTCAATGTCAATCTTGTCCTTCAGTGGGCACAAGGGATACTCTTCATCATACAGATGCAGAACCTCCAGCTAATTGCTTGTCCCTGCAACACCAAGGACATCTGGACTTCTAATTTCTTCCTACTGATATTCCAGCCCTCTGGGAAGACTTAAGTAAATCCCAGCCTTGGGTCTGGAAATAGGGTTCCACAGTTAAAAGCACTTGCTACTCTAGCAGAGGACCTGAGATCTATTAGCTGCACCCATCCAGGCAGCCCACAACTGTAACTCTGGCTTCAGTGGATCGAATACTTTCTTTTGACCTCTGTAGGTGCACTCAAGTGTACCTTCACACACACAAACACACACACACACACACACACACACACACACACAGACTAAACTGTAAATAAAAGATAGAAAGCTCCAGCCTTGTTTTCCCATTTTCATGTCCGTATGTAGTCCACAGAAGTCTTGGTGCCTTTGAGCTACCATGAGTGAGACTGCAGCCCTGTTAGTGTCCTCCTCAAAACAGATTTTTACCTGTTGTGCCTCAGAAACTGGATCTAACAGGACTCAGGGGCATACATCAAGCTACCCTACAGGTCCCTGAAGTCCCCTTACTAGTTTAAGAGTGAAATCTGAATGATGAGGGAGGTCTGAAGTATCACAGTATTCAGGGACGTGTTCTCTCTGCTGTTCATTCTTCTGTGGCCGACTCACTTCCTCCATACCCAACTCCTGATAAGAGAGTGAGAGGAATAAACCTGTTTTTAGCAACATTTTTAAAAGCCCTACATGGTCTGTGTCCTATTTTAGCACTCTGTAGTATTTGTATATGTTTTCTTGGATTGTTAATAAAAAGTAACTTACCGTTTTAAAATCCAGATACAGTAATTATTAGTGTCTACCTTATTTGAAATCAGATTGTATTCTGTTAATAAATTAACATCTTTATTTAATAAAAATGAAGATTACGTATATTAGAGAACTATATGTGAACTTTGTCTTTTAAATGATACTGTTAGAATACTTAGCTTCTCATCAAAACAGAGAGTTAACTTTTCATATCTCAACAAATGGATACCATGTTCCAGTGCATAGCCCCAAACCCCAGAGTATATAAGCAGCACAGACTGTAATCAGTGGATTATCAAAAAATAAAGTATGTGAGGTTTGGATGGGATAGGAGGCAGGGGTTGAATCTAGGAGGAGTTGTAAGGAACAGTAGGGGGGATATGATAAAATACATTGTATGTGTATATAAAATTTTCAAGGAAAGTAATTAAAATGTTGTATTAAGACATGGACAAATAACAGTTAAATCATACAATATATCGATCGATATAAATGAGCAGTGCCCAATAAGAGCAACCAGATGAATTTGCTTCTTTTGTCTGAATGGTTAAACAGATGCTTAGCATCTTGCTGTAGTGTGCACTTCAGTTTTATTTGCTTCAAGTCATCTTGTGGTAACCCCGACTAAATATCCTTTGATATGGGACATGGTGACATGTGCTTGTAATGTCAGCCCTCAGGAAGCTGAGACAGGAGATCAAGGGCAGCCTGGACTGCACAGCAAGGAATCATCTCCAAAACATGACAGCAACAATAACTGTCCTTTGGAGGATGACTCTGTAGTTACAATTCAATTTGGAGTCTCAAGTGCATCAGGAGCAAGTCTGATTTATTGAAGCCAATTAGCAAAATTCTTACTTGACTCTGGGGTAAGGACATAAGGCAAAAATCTGGCCAATGATGTGAAAGGATTCACTTCCTGGTGACTTTAAAAGAAAGTGTGCTTCCCATCTTTCAAGAGAGCAACTCAGAAGGGCCATCTATTTTTGTGATAAACAGGAATGGAGGGAAAACATAGTTCTACAATTTCTTTTTTTTTAAAGCAGATATGCAGAAATCCCAGAAACCAGCTTAGAATTATAATCACATTGTAAGAAACCCAAAGAAGACACAAAGAAACAAGAATTTTCACGGTATCTTTGATTTGCTACAGGAGCATATCGGATTCTGCCCTTTGGAATTTTTGGTTATCTGAGCAATAAATCTTTGTTCTGTAGCAAAGATTTAGTACATTTTTGTTGCTGTTGTTGTTGGCAGATAAACGCATCTGGAATGGCATAGACCATTATCTGCGTGTTGCTAGCAATCAGGCTATAGAGAATTTAATAGGGTGCTCATTATTACCACTGAGAGACCTGGGCTATCTTAATGAAGTCAGGTACTGTATTTGTATTATCAATTTTTTCCGTACAGTTGATCTGTAGATGGCTGAGCAGTTACTGCCCTTGCTGTTTTTCTTTCACCCCTGATTCAAAGCTAACTTTGCTGCTCACCTGCAGAGAGATGTGCTGGCTCCTCTCACCCCATTATGCCTACTCTCTGCCATAGCATCTTCCGTGATAGTTTTTCACGTCTTCAAGATTGCACCACCAAGATATGACACAGAGGAAACATACAAATAGCAGCCCTCCAGAAACTTTTGAGAGAAAAGGCTTAATTCATCTTAGTACTGTACTGATTTTGTTCCTATATTAATATGATATCAGATGAGATACTGTACAACTCTAATTACGTGCATGAACTATCTTTTTAATATTTCCTAACAAGTTTTTCCTTCTTCCTATAAAAATAATGAACAATTTTCATTATATATAAATTAAAGGATTTTATAAGATGAGAAATTTCTTGGGCATCCCTTACTTTTAGGGAGAGGTTCTAGTGTTTGATTATTCATAGAGTAGAGTCTAAAGCAAATATTTGCCATCTGATGGCTAACATGGAAGATAATTCAAATTCTGAAGTGAGGAACAAGAAAAATGAGATACAGAAGAAGAGTCAATAAAGGAAAAGTTCTTGTAAACTTCTGGGGTAGAGCGTTGGTTAGGATCCTCTGAAGAACCATGTAGAATAGCCTGCAGCATGTCTAGCACCCCTGTCAATTACCACTGTCCCATATGATGGGGACTTTTCTGACAGGGAGGCAGTCACAAAGCATCACCCCCATAATGACCCTATGAAATGTACCCAGTAATTTTGTGTTCTTTATTTCAGGGACATAGGCAAATAGTACCAATATATATAATTAATTATACACTGATATTACTTTCTTTTATTTTCAAAATTACATTGTTTATTTTTTTAATTGTCAATGAGAATCATTATTGAATAACTATTTTATAATTTAATTACAAGACTATTTGTTTTTGGAATAACAGTGACCTGAATAACTTTGTCTCCATATTCATTTTTACTAGCAATTTTTTATTTAAATTAGAAACAAACTTGTTTTACATGTCAATCCCAGTTCTCTCTCCCTTGTTACCTTCCCTCCACTGATTCCCATTCCCTTTCTGCTTCCCAAGGAGGGTGAGTCCTTCCATGCTGGATCTTCAAAGTCTGTCACATCATTTGGAGCAAGACCTAGGCCCTCCTCCTTGTGTCTAGGCTGACAGAATATCCCTCTATGTGGGATGGGCTCCCAAATTCCATTCTTATACTAGGGATAAATACTGATCTATTACCAGAGGTCCCATAGATTGTCCAGCCTCTTAGCTGACACCCACGTTCAAGGGGTTCTGCATTGGTCCTGTGCTGGTTTCCCAGCTATCAGTATGGGGTCCATGAGCTCCCTGTTGTTCAGGTCAGCTGTTTCTGTGGGTTTCTCCAGCCTGGTTTTGACCTCCTTGCTCATCACTCCTCCCTCTCTGCAACTGGAATCCAGGAGTTCGGTGCAGTGTTAAGCTATAAATCTCTGCTTCTGCTTCCATCAGCTACTGGATGAAAGCTCTATGATGGCATGTAAAGTAGTCATCAATCTCATTATCAGGGAAGGGCATTTAAGATAGTCACTCCACTATTACTTAGATTGTTCAATGGGGTCATCTGTGTAGATCTCTGGACATTTCCCTAGTACCAGATTTCTCTTTAGGCCTGTAATTGTTCCCTCTACTATGGTATCTCTTTTCTTGCTCTCCTCTATTCTTCCCCCTACTCAATCTTCTTGGTCCCTCATGTGCTCCTCTCCCCTCCTATTCTCCCCTTCTCTTTCTCCTAACTGCTTCTTCCCTCCCTCATGCTCCCAATTAGTTCAGGAGATCTTGTCCCTTTCCCCTTCTCTAGGAGACCATGTATGTCTCTCTTAGGGTCCTCTTTGTTTCCAAGCTTCTCTGGTAGTGTGGATAGTAGGCTGGTAATCCTTTGCACTATGTCTAAAATTCATATATGAGTGAGTACATACCATGTTTGTCTTTTTGTGACTGGATTACCTCACTCAGGATGGTTTCTTCTGGTGCCATTAATTTGTGTTTGAATTTCAAGACTTCATTGTTTTTTTTTCCCGTTGAGCAATACTCCATAAGTGTACCACATTTTCTTTATCCATTCTTCAGATGAGGAGCATCTAGGTTGTTTCCAGGTTTTGGTTACATTACAAATAATGCTGCTATGAACATAGTGGAACAGATGTCCCTGTTGTAAGAATGTGCATCATTTGGGTATATGTCAAAGAGTGGAATTGCTGGGTCTTGTGGTAGACTGATTCCCATTTTCCTGAGGAATCTCCATACTGATTTCCAAAGTGGCTGTATGAGTTGTCACTCCCACCAGCAGTGGAGGAGTGTTCCTCTTTCTCCACATCCTCTCCAGCATAAACTATTGTTGGTGTTTTTTATTTTAGCCATCTGACAGGAGTAACATGGTATCTCAGACTTGTTTTGATTTGTATTTCTCTGATGGCTAAGGATGTTGAGCACTTTAAGTGTCTTTCAGCCATTTTTGATTCCACTATTGAGAATTCTCTATTTAGTCCTGCACCCCACTGTTTAATTGGATTGTTTGGTGTTTTGGTGACTAGATACTTGAGTTCATTTTGGAGATCGCCCTCTGACAAATGTGAGTTAAGTGAATATCTTTTCTCATTCTGTGGGCTTCCTTTTAATCTTGTTGACTGTGTCCTTGCCTTACAGAAGTTTCTCAGTTTCAGGAGGTCCCATTTATTAATTGTCGATCTCAGTGTCTGTGCTACTGTGTTATGCTCATTAAGCAGTTTCCTGTACCAATTTGTTCAAGGGTTCCTCCCACTTTCTCTTCTAAGAGGTTCTACATGGCTGGATTTATGATGAGGTCTTTGATCCATTTGGACTTCAGTTTTGTGCATAGCAATAGATATGGATCTATATGCAATCTTCCACACATAAGCATCCAGTTATGTCAGCACCATTTATTG